CTCTACCAGAGAGAAACTACTGCAATGAGAGCAGTTATAAATACCTGCCTTCCCCTCTTTTAAAATGCAGAATTCATTAATATTGCCATTTATTTCTTAGCCTCTGTGTGGGAAGTGATCACTGTCTCATTACCATCCAGGTTTTTCAACACGCAATTACCTGTAATGAAAAATGCCATAGGTAGAGTTTTTACAAAGAATAACTGCACTTTGAGTACCTGTCACAAAATTATACATTAAGTCATTGTGAATTTACTAATGTAATTTGACTTTCAGCATTTCACATATTATATAGTACTTAGATTAGTCACCCTTTAATGTTTTAGAAGCTTTAGTGGTAAGCTAAACTGTGAACAAACAATATGGGTTGTCATTTTAATCTAAATAGCAGGTAGAATTTTTTTTATTCTTTATTTCTGCTGTGCTCTGTATTTTGTTGTTGATTTTGTTCCTTGGTTTGCTTGTGATTCTTTATAAAAGAAAGCAACCTTTTATTCAGTATTCGTAATAAAATGACTACTTGCCCTGTTTGTATCATGGATCTCCAGTAGTGGCTTGTTGGCTGCTTTCACACATGTAGACAAAGCTGCACATTTTACAGTTAAAGGCAATAAATGGGAGCGTTTACATCGGACATAGTTAAGACACCAGCAAAGTTGAACAGTAATGAAGATAAAAAAGAATTAACAGAGAAGAAACAGGAGTTTACATGTTATATCTAGGTGTCAAGAAAGATTCAATCTTAGCTTATTACAACCAATCTGTAAGGACAATACATGCTGACTAACCCCTTTGTTGGGCAGCCACTGCATGTTAGAATGCACTGAATAAAAAGCAGTTACATGAAATCCACGTTTTATTTGTTCACAAACGTGTAACAATTTTTTTGATAGCTCTGCAATAATCCCACACAGGGTTTTCTTGTCATATCAGTCTCTCAGCAGTCGCTCACAGCATAAAGGTAACGTCTCAGCAGTAATAAGGCGATGACTATGAGCCACTTGAAGAGGTAGATGAAGCATTTGATAGATAAGCATGTGGCAGTCACATGCGAAAGACAGGCCTCAGTTCAGCTGGTGTGCAACTGCCCCACAATGAAAGAATGCAGGAGTGTTGCCGTCTCAGTCACTGTACAGGAATCATGAGACCAACTTCAGTACATGTACATGGCTGTAACTGGACCACCAGGTAAGAGCTGAGCTGTATATCAAAGATCTCCATTTTCTGCTGAATCCTCGTTCCATCTCTTGCCTGTAGTCATGAATGCTCACCAAAGTGTGAGATCACAGATTCAAGGTGTCGATATGAAGGCAAAATGTTGCAGACGGAGAAGCTCTCAGATCCTGCTGCTCACAACCTCCCGTACAACTAGACAAAAAACCTCAAGAAAACTGCTTCATGTCATTAAAAAAAAGCTTTCCAAACATCATCAGGAACTGCTGTATAATCTTCACTTTTATTATTTTAATAAAAGTATTAACATGTGATCTCATATATATTAAAGAATTGGTCAGAACAGAAATATACACCATTTCCAGATTAATCATCTTATGTTTTGCTTTTAAAGTCAAACTTGAGTTACAGTAAGAACTCACTGCTTCCAAGAAAAAAGCAATGATTGATACTGGAGGAGAAAAAAAATCATTTTAAAGTCAGTAGAAAATATGAAACCTTGGATTACATGTCCCAGCAAGCCTGGGAAGACTTGTGAAACCCCAAGAAAAGGTCAAGGGATGCTTCTTGGTAAAAAAAATACGAGTGAGACGCTGCGCTTGCCGGTTGAAGCCAGTGTGAGCTGCAACAGGAGCAAGACAAAATAAAATAGAATAGAATAGAATAGAGCAGAATAGAATAGAATAGAATAGAACACTTTTTATTGTATTGTATTGTATTGTATTGTATTGTATTGTATTGTATTGTATTCTTTTCTATTCTATTCTATTCAAAATATAAAGATGACAACCGGAAGCCTCAGGATGCTGCTGGTAAACAGGCTTAAAGTTATAGAGTTATTACAATAAACAGAAATTCAAGTAGAAACTAATACACACATTTTTGTTGGATAGTCATCTAACAACAAAAACAAAACAAATGGCTGACATAAGGGAACATGGTGTTGTTAAAAACAGGTTCAACAGAGCAACAAATACAAGCAGGCAGAAAATCAGACAGGATGTAAACAAGAAAACAACACTTTACTTAAAGGTTAAACAAAAAGTTGGTAATAATTAAAACCCTTTGCACAGCTATGGCGAGTACAGCAGGTCAGAACTGAACCAAGAGTTAGTCTGGTAACTTTAATTGATGTCTAATATGAACAGTTTGGATGATTATTTTACTGTTTACCTTCTTTTTCACAGGTCTTACTAACCTGGGGGGCTTAATCACAAACCATCTGTTTTACTGCTTGTTGTTGTTGCAACATCTAACCTATTTTTAGCAATGTTGCCGCATTCCAGCATCTTAGCAATAACCTTAATGTAACACACTGAACTGAAAACCTAAACTATAAAAATTAAATCCAAGGTGTAATAAAAAGTAGTTTTCCCATAAAGATCATTAAGGAAAAACAGAGCCACATGGGCCACATGGATTTCTTTTTCAAATGACGCATTTACCCTCCAAACATTATATTAGAAAATATATGTGTTATTCAAGACTGACACGTTGCTGTGCCTGCAGGATTACACCTCTGTGGATGTGGGTGAAGTATCACTTATACCGCCACCATTCTCAGCATCTGGCCTCTTTCCTCCCTCCTCCTGGATAACTGCCTCACTATGGAGCAATAATAATCACATAAGACATTAAATTGAACTCCTTCCTTTAAGTACAAGAGAACCAGTAGAACCTGGCATCTATATTTAGCCTCAGAGCACCTTTGCCTCTATGTCTGCTGCCTGTCATCTAGTTAGAGAAAGAACACTATTCTTTAGTGGTGTCATTAACACAGTTGTTAAAATGACAATAACACTGAGTTCGAGGGTGGCAACCTGTGATATAATTGGTTTGGGGGATGCAGTCGTGACTTGTTAAGACGTTAAACAACTGCATTACGGCTGTTAAGCGGTGAGTATTGCTGTTTGGGAAGCTCAGCCAAAAACAAAAGCCACAGTAGAAGACATTAAATTCAATGTAAGAAACGATGAGTGTAATGAATCACATTTATAAACTCGAGTATGTGGGTGAAAAAGCTCCAAGCTATTCAAACAACCTTGACTGCATATTATGATAAGAGTCTAACCTGGTATATTAAAGGTGAAAATGACTAATGACAACCATTACTGTGCACACTTTAGCACAACTGTAGTGTGAGGAAGGTCGCAGGCTTTTAAATTGGGATCATATATGATCAAACACAGTACCTGAGAAAACTGCATCTTGGACTGGAAAATAAAAAAGCTGCAGGAGGGGAGAAAAAAAAAGGATTTAAGGTGAAGCTAAAAGTGAAATATAATTTGCATGTTGCTCAGTTCCACATTAAGGTGAGCAGAACCCTGAATAGTCATGGGTCACACACACTTTAGTAACTACAAATTAATTGTAATATAACTTCATAAATTAAAAGAGGAGTCGATGATTCTGGAAGTTAGTAGGTGCAAGTAGGTGCTACTATCTCTCTTGCTGCCACTGCCCCCTTTCTCACCCATCTCCCCTCTCCCTCCCTCACCTTTTGCTCCTGTGCATGAGCTTGAATGTGCACGGGACACAGTAATAGTGCTGTGTGAATCAATCCAAACCACATTGTTTTTCATTCATAGCATAGTTTTTTACTCCAAACCCTGAACAGACAGCTTGTGGACCGTGAGGACATATTCACTGAATTTGACAATAAAATGCATGTGGTTAGAATCACTGACTTCCCCTTTAAGATGTCACTGTCTTCGTAATAATGTTTACGTCGTTACAGTTTGTTACCAATACTAAGTATAAAATCCAAATCTTTCTGTACATTTGAATTCACATAGAAAAACTTAATGGAATTTCTCATTTACATTGCAATCTATTTACAGTAGCAGCTTTAATGTTTTCTTGCTTAGTTGGCATATACATGTAGAAATGCTAAATACAAGTCGTGACATTTGGTTATACAGAGTACCGTTTTAGCTACTGCAGCATCTAAAAAGAAGATTTCTTTTTTTTCTTTAGCTCTACAAATAGTTCTCCAGCAAACCAATTTTCAGTACCATTGAGTACTATTCTCTCTCAGCCACTGACCAGACATGCATGGCATATGTGAAACAAATCATTTTACTTTTCTCTGCACAGAAACCTGTCAGCAACACACCGGCAGCACGCACTCAGGTAGCAGGTAGAAGCAATTGGATTCTTCCTCACCAGTGGCTCCAGGAACTATCAGCTCCTATCCAGGATTGAGTTTGAAAGATGATAATAGACTCCTGAGGAAACTAATCTATTTCTAAGGAAGAAAAGGAGTATCAATTCACGCACCTGCCCCCCCCCAACTGCTTCCACCTGCCCACCCATCTTTTTGCACCATTTCACTCAGGAGCAACATTACAGGTAAATTTTTACAATTGATATATACCAATTTAATGGACTCCAGACAGCAAGGCAGTTACTGCAAATGTCTCAAATTCTGTTTCGTTATTAGCTACATGTGATGTATAACATACAGCGCATTCCTGATTGTTTACTGTAGGTTTTGCACAGTAATTGAATGAAGCACAATTTGAAGCACTCTTGTATATAAAAACATCTGGAGGATTTCAATTATGGTATAAAAATAACACACCATTATACTTCAGCCTTGTACAAACAATGTAACTGCCAGAGCTGTGCAAGACCAACTAAAGGCACTACCTGCAAAGTGTATTGTGACACACAGAGGCAAATTAAAGACATATCTTGAATGTGCAGACATACAATTAAAGTAATAGCAAACTTTTACAACATATGGTGTAGTTATTTTTGACATTGTCTGTTTTAAATAAGTCATTGTCGGTGTTAACGAATGCCAGGTAACTGATGAGAAAAAAATAATGAATCCATGTTTGTAAAGCTGAATCATATGCCGTCTTACATCACCCACGGAGTCTTGCGATTTCCACACGATAAGTGTTCACTCCTACCGTGTCCTGCACTGTGTGGAAGTGTTGAGGTCCGTGATATACTGGAGCCTGTTACATCCACTGGCCCTTTCATGTATGGATACATAAGTTTGAAATCAAGTCTAAAAGTTTCCCGCTGAAAAAAAGGCAGCTGTTACAAGGCCTGGAGCATATGTAAACATGGCAATACTAGGACCCAGATGGCTCCTGTCAGTCTGAGGCTCCTGGATCTGCCCTCTATTTCTGAATCCTTGGCAGGTGGATGATGATAATGATGATGATGTTTGTGATCACCGGTCACATCTGGACTCACTGAGGAGAGAGCGGAAACCAACATGCCAGTCAGAAAGATGCACATTATCAATATAGCAGCATGGAAGAGGCACTCATTTTTGCCGTGTAACTTAAAGGGACAAGACTGATGTATTTTTCAATTCTAAAAAAGAGTTATATACAGTATATAATTGCATTGTGAGGCACTGTTCTTTTCAACAAATCCTACCTAAATAGGGAATTTGTTGGAGGCTATTTTCAACAGTGCACTAATACATGAGACACAGATGCAGTACAGCTCATTGTAGTGTTTGAATAGCCTTTGGAGGCCTGTGGCACATAAATGTTTCACACTTTGGTTGCACGCAAAGTACCTGAAGTTGGAGGAATTGTTGGACCCTTGAAAAATATGTTGACACCATCTGTAACCTGACAGCAATGATCAACCCCAAACTGGTGTTTTTGGTTATTTATTCTACATTTTAATGTAAGTGCTACATTACATTTACAGCAGAGGAAACTGATAATATACACCGTGGATACAGAACTATCTGAAGCACCTTCCTTGGCTCTTAACAGATATTAACAGAGTCTTGCGAAAGAAAAGGTCATTTGTAGTCAATTGTAAAAGTCAAGGTTACAAACTGAATGAAGTCGTGGATAAACCACTCTACCAATTTCAAGTGGTTTACAGATTTATAACATTTTCTAAACATCCTGAAGGTATGTTTTGGGGATTTTTTTTAAATATTGTTTTGTTTTTTCTCCTGATAATAACACCTGCCACATTAATGCTTCACCCATCTTTTACAGCTGCAGTGCATTAGAGCTCTAACCATGCCATTAATGGAGTTTGTTAATTTTCCACTGCCCCATTTATAGTGAGCTGATGGAACTACGGAGCACCTTCAGACTCCGTCTCATCCCCCCCGAGGTGCAGCAAAGAGCATCTCAGGTGCTGCTTTGTGTCATCAGCCATCAGAGTTTTTATGCTGAGGTGTTAAGGGCTGAATGCATACATGAGAATTACAAACGATCGCAGCAAAAACAGTGTTAGTCATCAGAGAGATTAAAGACAATATTTGTCTTGTAGATTCCAGTTTGTAAAGCCTCTGAGGTGGCCCTTTATTTATTTTTTTATTATGGAATTCACGTCAGGAAAATTTGACATTTAACAGTGAGCATCCTGACAACTATACAATTATTTTTAAAACTGGGGTGATATCTTAGGCTCAGCTCTCATCTATGTGGTAGTATATACTCTGATTTTCCCAGTTGTTCCAGCTCAGGTTAGTGTAGTTTTTTGTGTGTGTTTTGCTATTATTTTATGTTGAAAAAAAAAACATAGCAAAGAGCACATAGCTGGGAAGGCTTATATAAGAGTGATGGTTACACTACAGGCACTATTTAACAAGGTCATTTGATAATTGGCTCCAATAAAGGTTGCAGTGAAGACATTTAACATTTAACCATATTATTCCCAGAACAGCATATAAGATACTGATTTAAAGTTGTGGAAAAATAACACAACACCCCCCTGAACCAGCCTTTTTTTTTTCCCTCTCCAAATTTCACATTATATACCTCAAATCACGACTTGAACTCAACTCCCCCATGGGTCTCCAGCTTTAAAATTACACCTTAACAGATATCAATTCAGACAACTGCACCACACAAGCTGTCAACATCCATCTTGCTGTTTACATGTCTTTAGAGGCCTGAAGTGTTGAGGTGGGGAGAAATTCTGTGTCCCTTGCCGGGTGAAATAAAGGATCCTCTTTAGCCCTGCTGATATTACTTCAGGACACTTCAGACTCCATACTGGTTCTTCCCCACAGGGAAGGACTGATGCTGAACCCCAATAGATGACCAGCTGCTCCAAGATGTTTGAAATTCTCACTTAAGCCCAAGGGTCATAAGTCTGTCGCAGGGCAGGATTAGTCTAACCCAAACCCTTTCAAAGTCTATAAAGGCTCTATACTATCGAAGTTTATCTTACAAGCAGAAAAATAGGACCAGCTGCAGAGGCTATTTGTACTCTGTGGATTCAATTCCACTTTTTATGGTGCAGCAGAAATAGACTGTAATTCTTTCCCATATAGCAGCAGGATCCACAACAATTACTTGTTTCTGTATAGACAATTTATATTGTAATAGCTTCGGTATAATCTAATATAGTAATATAATATAATATAATGCAGTTGTTTCCATTAAAATATATCTTTTGTCTCAGCTTTCTCTAATTTACAGATTTGCCCAAATTTAAATGTCATGTATTTACATAAAAAATGACACGAGGTATAATGTATGTGTTACATGTAAGGGTACACATATGAATTACTGCTAAAGTATATGATCATTATCTGAAGTTAACTGCTTATTGATTTGCTGCCGAGAAGTCCTCTGGACAACTATTTGAAGGTATACAGCTCACAGATAGTCTTTGTACCCAAGAGCACTGCACTTCAACACCTAAATCAATTCCTCTTACTGAAGCTTCAAGGTTTCTAATGCAGCAACAAGTTGAAGACAGAATGACAGAATGTCTTTCTGATGAATAAATTGTGCAACTCTGAAAGACCTCTTATATTGTACCTCCAGAGGAAATACTCAGTCACTTGTGTAAAAGTTACACTCAAAACACAGTCATGGGCACAAGATGTGACTTCAATTGTGTATAAATGGTGTGTTTTTTATACTACAGATAACACTACTAAGTAAAATAAATGCATTAAATGTGGACCATAACATACTACTTATCTTTTCTTTAAGAAAAAGTCCCTTCTTGATGAGCCCCGATCTGGGCTCCTTATGTTGAAAGCCACTCATACTAAGTCTTTGTCTTTCCCGAACCCTACATCTTGTTTAGAAGTAAATCTCAGTGTTAAAATGACCAGATTTCAACATGTGACTCTTCTTTCTTTATGTGGCGTATAAACAAAATCAGAGAGCAGCTGCAAAAAGGAACACCACCTTAGAGAGAACATCAGAATCAGCTGTACCAGAAAATGCTGCAAAGCAACAACAAAGGCCCCTGGCAGCCGCAGGAATTATGATTCCTATCCATCAGGAGCAAAGGACTAAGTCAAGGGATTTCCTGCTCTGCATAAAAAGGGGGTTGGATCAGATGGAATGGATAACAAAATGTCAGACTTTAACAGGCAGTTTTGTTTTTTGTTTCCAACCAATATCAACATCTGTTTCTTTTAATCACTCTGTTACTAAAACTAAAAGGTTTCTATTGTAACCAGGTTGGTCTCCTAACCTTAAAACAAACATTATAGTGATGTCAGAAGGCACAGAATATAAATAAAGTTGCTTTAGATCCTAAATGTTTTTCCTGCCATAAATTATACCTTTGCAAACTGCACAATGCTCTGCTTTTACTGAGATTGTCAGAAATATATGTACTTATTTAATACTGTGGTGCTTCTTGATTTTTTTATCCTCTGTATTTCTATTAATGAGGTGGGCAGGACATTATGCAGCCCGGTACAACACTACCAACTCAGTGCAAAACATATATTGATTAGTCACAGCATTAAAACTGCCTGTCTATTACTGTGTGCCCCCTCCCTCGATCACATTGGAGATCTGGTGAGTTTAGAGGACTGATCAACGCCTTGGTCTCTTAGTCGTATTCCTCGAACCATTCCTGAGCAGTTTTTGCTACGTGGACAAAATGTGCTTTGTCTGCAGTCATGTGTTTCAAATAAGATCCAGATAAATAATAGGACACAAGGTTCCCCAGAGGAACCTGCACTGTAACACGGTGTCAGTGGTATTATTGTTATGGCTCATAAATACATAATAACGGCACAAACTCTATGACAGTGTCACATAAGAAGAAACTAATTGGTGATACTAAAAGTAAAAAAAAACAGTCAAACTGGATTGCAATTAGACATGCAGGTGTACATAATAACGCAGCCACTAAGTATATGTCATCTAATGTTATATTGCCTTACTGGCTTAATTACAAGTGTTGTGTGCAGGCCACAATGCCAAATGTGTGGTCAAAAACCTCTTTTGGGGGAAGAAATGAAGACAAATCATTTTACATTGCTGAGTTTTGCATTAGGACACTATTGGGTTTCACATGCGGGCGCAATCAGAAGAGGGAAGGTTGAGACTGGCAGACGATAGAAGACAGAATGCTAAATTAGACTGTGCTCCACATTGTTGGAATCAAAGATTCTGCAATATAGCACCTTGCTGTGCATTGAATTTAATCTTTTAAATAAATTCTCAAAATAACATGTAAGTAATGGAGGCCATTACACACACACAGACTTGATTACAAACACAGACAAATACATGTTACTTAATAGCTCGCATACACACACAGTATTGACTGTGACTGCACTGCAGCTATTAATAATGGCCATCATCACTGCTGAATCTTCTGGCTGTAAGTAGGTTCTTTTTATGAATGATAATGAAGGTCCAGGCAAAGGAGTATATTACCCCTCTAAAAGCAGAACTATGTCCTCAATATAACAACCCAACAGAGGATACATATTTCTTGTGCTACTCAAGTGTTTCAGGCCGTAGCGAAATTTAGCCTCCAACAACTAATGGCTGCGAAGAGCTATAATGGTGTGCCTTTTCTGGGATCCAAGCACCGACGATTTTGGAAATTTGTTTGGAAATTGCCACTGTAATGATATGTTTTAGTAAACCCTCAGCAGGGAGGTTAGGATGTTGGAAAATGTGCTCAGCCCGAAGAGAGACATAGGTCAGAAAGAGAAGCTTACAACTGAAGTGAAATCAATAGAAGCTGATTCCTGAGGACTTGGACCAGCAATGATCAATGGCACACTAAATGCACCAGGAAAAAAACAAAAAAACAACAACAACAACAAAAAACTTAACAGCTGCAGTGATGGAAAGTGCCTTTTTGTGTGATTATAAGAGGGTCAGCCTTCGGAGTTTTATGTTCCCATCTTCAGCCAGTCTGTGTGAGTAACGGGGTTATTATGAACAGCTCAATTTTGCCAAACTTCATTACAGCTTCCCTTTCCTTTGGTTTAGCATTT